GTCAAACACACACACACACACCCTCTAGCTAAATATAATTTACGGCAGTATGAGAATATCAGTGCACACATATAATGAGATAATGTGTTTGTTCATCCAGATTTTGCAAAGGGTAATCTTCATTTTCTGTAATTTGGCAGTGACAACTAAAGACCAACATAATGCTTTTTGCCTTGTGACTTGTATTTCTCTGTCTCTGTGTGTGTGCACACATCCTCTAATTGGTGAATCTGAAACCCGCCACATGCCGAGCTAGGAGCAGGAGGGTGTGGCTTCCCAGAAACAGTGCACAATGCAATTTCTTTAAATCTATGAATACTTTGAAGTTTCAAGGTTTTACCTACAAGTAAGGTGAACCATTAAATTTTCTAGCATGTATTTTAGTAAAATATAAATTGTCTTTAAGCTCCCTCAAAATACAACCTCAGTCTATGAACCCACACTCCTGAAGCAGTACCAGAGGTCCTCTCTGGGGAATGTCTTTAGCTGTGCTGCCATGGCCCCTGAATGTCCACAATCTACTCAAAAAAACGTCCTCTCGTGGCCACTCTGACCCTGGCATGAGCTGAAAGTAGGTGCAGGATGCCAGATTCAAGGAGAAACTGGAGGATAAAGCAACCTTGATGAGGTTAAGTGACGCATAGTTTCGCTTACACTTTTTTTGAAACTGAAAGGCTAAGTAATTGCAAGACCAAAGTAAAAGATAAGGATACTGAGAGCAGAGGTGGAATTTGTGGAGATGGGGAGTGGATCTGAGCACAAGGGAGAAGGGAGATTGTGGAGAGGTGGGAAGTAGCTAGCATCAAAGGATGATACACACATGGACTAATGCCCACCACGTGTGGGTTATGCAATGCAAACGTAAGCTAATAAAGTCATTAAAAACAAAATTAGGTTGAAATAGGGTGGATAAGTCCATATCATAATGATTTTATTTGATGAAAATTGCTCTGAAACTCTTGTATGTGTTCAGTATGTCTAGATAAACCAAGGAAAGACACTCACTCCTGGTCTCAAAGTGGATCACACTGTTTACACAGAATTTAAGGTGCTTTTCAATCAGAATGAAGTGGTTCTCAGAGGCAGTTCTCCTGCAGGTTAAAATGAGAAAGTCATAGTTATCTGACACAGTTTTATATTAGTCAAAGCAATGAAAGGCCAACAAAATTTCAAAGAGAAGACAAAATTGGGTCTGTAAGGATGATGGTTCCAAAAGTACAACCATGTTTAAATAGCCCATTTCATTACTGGTCCATTCTCCAGTTCTGAAATTGCTCATTACAAATACTTTTATTTTTTAGACCTTAACCTTACAAATAAATAGTTGAGTATGTGTGATTACTTTGCTTTCATTCTTGTTTTATATTCTAAATTTTTGCTCTGCAAAGACCTAGCTCAGCCATCAAATAAAGCAATGTATGAGCAGCACGCACACAGAAACAGAGCTGCAGACATTTCAGTGGGGCCACTGTGGGAACAGGGCGGGCTCTGGTCCTCTGGAAGTCACCCAGTCCCCCAGGCATCAGAGTAGTGGGCCAAGGTTTAAGCAATGTGAAGAACTTTCCACTGTCTGTGAGGTTGCTTGGAGAATTTAGAAGTCAAATTTTCACAAATTCTCAATTTTATTAAAAACAATCATGAGTAAAAACAAATGAAATTATTTTTAGAAACAAACCTGGAACTCCATGTGTTTTAGAAGATTGTTATTCACACATAACTCTTAAATGAATCATGCTTTTGCACATGATGTATGCTCACAGAAAAAATTCCAGCATTGCAGTGAATTTCAATTCTTTGTTCATCAAACTCTACCATACAAGGTCTTAAATAGGTAACCACGAATACTTGCAAAGGAGTTGCCTTTCCAAATTCAAAATACAAAAACTGAAATCACCAATGTTAGTCCTAAAGACTTAGACGCAGTAGAGAACTTCTTATGCAAATGACTTAAGCAGAGTTAAAAAAAAAATTCATTCATTTCTCCTGAACATAGAAGATGTGGCCCAGTCACAACCTTAGTGAAATGGAGAAGGATGACAAGTGATTGGGGATGGGAACACTCTAAGAACTGTGGTGACTGCAGACCACAAGTAAATGAATATCCGCAGCATTCTTAGCCCTAGGAGCCAAAAGTGAAAACAACCTACAAGCCTGTAATGATGAATAGTTAAGGAAAATGTGTCATACCCATAAACCAATATATCATTTATCCATTTAAGGGAAGGTTATTCTGGAAAATGATACAGTGTGGGTAAATATTTACAGCATGGTACATGAAAGACTACCAGAAAAAGCACAGATTGAGGGCATCTGTGCATGTTTACCTCCAGAAAAGGTGAACGCATGGAGTCAGAAAGCAGCTGAGAGTTGCCAAGTACTAGGGGGAAAGCGGAGGATGAAATCACTCTTACTCCATGTACGTTCCCTTTGTGTTCACAACAAATACGCCATAAGCAGACGGTGATGCTCACTGTGCAAACTTTGGCCTGTGCTACACACCCAAGAAAGGTTCGGTGTGGATTCTGCAGCACACATATTATATCTCTGTAAGCATATCTTGGAAAGATAGTAATTGCTTAGTAATTTAGGGTAAAAGAATATGTGGACACTTAAAGTATAAATGAAGAATAGAAAAGTTTAATGATTAATTGGGGGCTGTAGGGGTTTAATTACACTCTGCTTCAGGTAGACAAGGATGAGACAGATAATATTTTAGAGCAGAAACCTTGAATCTATTGTGCATATCATGTTATAAAATTAATCTATAGTTTCATTCTAACATACGTGAGTTTGTTATCCTATTTAGGATGTAAACTTAACATGAGCTTCATTTAGGTCTGTAGTCTCAGGGGGAAATAGTTCTAAACATACCATTAATTGTTTGCAAAACAGCGAAACTTAATAAAAGTAGCTTCAGAGAGTTAAGTCCCAAAGCTGCTTGCTACAATAAATTACTGTCCCCGTAACAATGTTCGGTTACCACAGCACCACTCATCTCTGGTAAGTGCCTGAGTTTTCCAATTTAAAAAATCACATAAAAAAAAGAAATAAAAAAGCATAACTGATTGGAGAAAACGTACAAATTTTATACCAGATTATTTAGTAGAACACAATCTGTAATGATGTGTCAAAATTGACTATTTCTCCTCAAAATGTAAAGACTTTTACAGAACTTATTAGTGACCACAAAATGTCCTTTTACATATTTTCCTTTCATCTGGGTTCACAGGCAAATTTATTCATTTTATCATTTTGTAAGTATGTGCATAAATTTAGGAGATTGTTCTTGCCTAATTAATATATATTTCAAGATAACATTCCACATACATACCACATTAGAAATAAGAATATGTACAAATTGTAGTCCATGGACACCATATATTAAAATAACCTAATCAAAATAATCAAACAAAAAGCCTCACAAAAATACTCCACTCACATTCCACTTCTCATATTTCAATTAAAAATCATGCACACAGGAAAATACATCACATAGTCATGGACATTTGTACATGCAAGGAAGAGGAGCTTCATATCTCTAACATAATTCTTATTTATCTTGTTTTCAATTTTTTATACACACAAGATTGCTGTATGTAATAAATACATTCATAAAATGAGACATAATACAAAGAAAGCAATTAAAACATGCTTTTTCCAACTGCAATTTAGCATTTCTTATGCAGCACTCAGAAGACTAACATTTTAGCTCTGAACTACCTCTACATATAGCAATAAGCACTGTGATAAAATCATAATACATTTTTACAGAAAAAGTCAATGATATTTTTTGTGTCTTCTATAATAGTAGAAAACCACAAGAGAAGAATAATAACATTCATCATTATGTGTTTGTGATTCCATTCTTTCTAATAATAACTGATCTTTTGAAACTGTGTTGAATTTTGAAGAAGATAAAAATTGTAATTTTTCTGTCAGTGAATATTTTAAGAAACATAGCAAATGTAAATTGTATTTCTGATAATGCAATTTTCCCTCAAAAAGGAAAGTGTAATTTAGTAAATTCATATTATTTGGAAGATGTACTGAGATTTCAGCTCATCAAATATGTATGAACTGTAATAAGGACAGTAAAAGGTCCAGAGAAATTAGAGAAGACATAAAAATGCACATATTATGATTTATATTTAGATTTCACTCAAATTTCTTCTAGTTCTACCTTGGACTGATTATTTTAGTGTTCTCAAAAACCTCCAATGGCTGTTGTGCTTGGATAAAAAATTTAGAGAAATAAAAGGAGTTCTGTCTTACAGATATTTTGCAATGCACAGAAGGATAGAAATGTACCCATTAATTTTCTAAGTTTGTAGAATAATAAGAATGGAGCAAGGAAACTGCTCTGCCGTGGACGAATTCGTTCTCCTGGGAATCACTGAGAACCCAGACGTCAGAGAGACACTTTTCACTGTATTTCTCCTCGTTTATCTCATCAGTCTCTTAGCGAACCTTGGCATGATCACTTTAATAAGAGCGGATCCCCACCTGCACACGCCCATGTATTTCTTCCTCAGCCACCTCTCTTTCTGCGACCTCTGCTATTCCACGGCCATCGGACCCAAGATGCTGGCGGACTTCACGGCCGAGAGTAACTCAGTCCCTTTCCTGGGCTGCGCGCTGCAGTTTCTGACCTTCTGTGCCTTTGCAGACGCCGAGTGTCTGCTGCTGGCAGTGATGGCCTTCGACAGGTACCAGGCCATCAGCAAGCCCTTGCTCTACACGGCGCACATGTCCGGCAGGCTGTGCTCCCTGCTGGTGGCTGGGGTTTACCTGGTGGGACTCGCAGACGCTCTCATCCACACCGCACTGACATTCCGCTTATGTTTCTGCGGGTCCAATGAGATTAATCATTTCTTCTGCGATTTACCTCCGCTCTTTCTCCTTTCTTGTTCTGACACACAAGTCAATGAGCTGGCTTTATTCACAGTTTTTGGATTCATTGAAGTGAGCACTATCTCAGGAGTCCTTATCTCCTACTGCTACATCATCTTATCGGTCTTAAAGATCCGCTCTGCTGAGGGGAGGTTCAAGGCTTTCTCCACCTGCGCCTCCCACCTCACTGCCGTCGCCATCTTCCAGGGAACCATGCTCTTCATGTACTTCCGTCCCAGTTCTGCCTACTCCCTGGATCAGGACAAAGTGACCTCACTGTTTTACACCCTGGTGATCCCCATGCTGAACCCTCTGATTTACAGCCTGCGGAACAGGAATGTGAAACAAGCCTTGGAAAAGCTTAGAAATACTAAGTGGTTTTAAGTGACTGTATCGTATCTACATTTAACTACCGCAGAATCACGGCTCTTTTGGCAAATGACGCTGCACTGTGCACAGTGAATCTGGCAGACAGCTTAACTTACTGAAGGAAGCATTTAAACTAATATTTAATAGTAAGATGATGTTGCAGATCTCCAAATATGTCCTGTCTCATTTTTATTGGGAATCACTACATGGTCCTTCCTGTGGTACATTTTCCTCACTGTCTCAGATATGTCAGAGGTATATTTTTCATGTTCTCATTCAATTTCAATTTTACTGCTGTTTATGAACAGTTATTAGTTGCCCTTTGACACTCTATATTTCATGGCAAATCCAATTTACTTACCAGTGCAGCACACATTTTAAGAGAAGGAATGAAATGTAGTAAAACACGCAGTCAATTCAAAATAAGGCTGTAGGCAGTATGAGGTGAAGAGGGTACAGTTGTAATGCAGAGAAAGTGCACAAATCTAGTGTGCAGGAAAAAGTCTTCCTGAGATACTGATGATCAGTCTCACGCCTACGTACACACACACACACACACACACACACACACACACGTAAGGGAAGGAAGGGATGTTCTGCAAGAGTCCTGGGAAGTATAAAAATTGTGAGATAAGTACTGCTGGATATGTCAATTACATTTGGAAATAAATGTACTTTCAGCAATTTAGGATATAAAAATAAATGTAAGAGGCCCTGGTGAATTACTTCTGAGGTCTAGAATCATCAAATATCCGTGTCTCTATTTCTTCTTTTCTTTCTTTCTTCATCATCTGCTCCCTAGTTAAATTCTTCTCTTTGTTATTCAGAGTCATTTCCCCTACATCAGTATTTATGTTATTTCTTTAGTCATTATGTCCAGTATGAGAAAGTAAGCTTTGTTTTGGGGAACTAGAATAAAGAAGAACTAAGCTATATCATGCACAGGTACAAATTCTCTATGATGAATGTGATCGCTCTGTATTTCTAAATTGTAACAATAAACTTAATTTTTTAAAAAGTAAGCAGTTTTTGTCCCAGGGCTACACCTTCTGTCCTTGTTTTGCAAAGCACTTACACCATATATGGGGCACACTAAGCAGGAAAGCTAAGCAGGAATAAAAGATCACATGACATCTTTGCATGCTTAGTAGATGGTGATGCACAAGAATTCCTCTCTTATGATATGTGTCAAACATACAAAACACTTACCTAAGCTGCACACACACTACCACCTGAAATATATATGTATTATATATATGTATATAATTTCTGTGAATGGAAAGGTAAGGAATCTATAAAGAAATGAATAATAATTTCCTGAGAATATGAAACACCCATCTGTATATTTCCTTGATATTTTCCTTTGTTACCTATTTCTATTACCTATTTTCTAATTTTTTGATGATTCAAGCATGGAATGAACTGGATGAGCACCCATGGGTATATCCATATATGTGAAGGCCAACATGAAACACATTGGCTTTCTTAATCATCCATTACAATCATAGAAACCAGAGCCAGGGGTTGCCTCATGTTCCTTACTGATGATATGAAACTTCAAATTAAAACATTTCAGGATAGTAAAGGCCAAGGTAAGCAGCTGTAGTGGTTCATATAGTCAATCTCAGTCCTGCAGGAGAGTGAGGAAGGAGGATGCCAAGTTACCTCCCACCCTAGGCTACTTAGAAAATGAGAGAGAGGTTCGCTCAAAGAAACAAATTCACGATTAAGGGTGAGGCACGTAGCTCAGATAGAAACTCTTGAGCTCAATCCCACACACTGAAAATAAAGGAAAAGAAGAGAGAGAGACACACACTCTCTCTCTCTCTCTCTCTCTCTCTCTCTCTCACACACACACACACACACACAGAGAGAGAGACAGAGAGACAGAAATAAAGAAACAAAGAAAATGAACAGATCTAGGAGACACAGTACAGTATTGGAACAAGTATGAAAAAAATAAGTCACAAAGTTTATATATAATATAATATTAGATTATGTCACTGCTCTTTTTATATCTGAAATATAAATAGCAATGACACAAATCTGGTAGGATGGAATTCAGAAGACCAAATATATTTAAACATGCTGTTATGGTTTGTGTCTGGGTGTCCCCCCAAAGCCTCATGCGGCCATGGGGCAGGCTTTTAGAGTTTGATTGATTATGGGTGTGAGAGCTACACCCACCCTGGGGTGGATAGTTTGCATATGTAAGGGAGAGGAAGAGGCTGCTTGTGGCCATTCCTCCCTTGTATGCTTGTTGCTTTTGCTGTGTTCTGCTGCCATGAGCTGTAGCCTTCTGCCATGTGCCACTCTGCTTTGTAACCTGCCAAGTATGGACTGAAACCTCCACAAACTGCAAGCAAAATAAACCTTTCCTTCCTTATTTTTGGGTGTCAAGTACTTTGCCCCAGCAACAGGAGAAAAGTAACCAAGACACATGTCCTATTTAAATGGCAGCTTCTTTGATTTCTGAATATCAGAAAGATGTCACAGTGGTGGACACCCAACTTATCCAGTACCTTGCAGCAATCGGATGAGTGCCATGCAAAGGCTCCCTGTGCCCATGCTCTTTGCATGGGCCTGCTGAGAGGTGAGGCACTTGGGAATCTTCCAGTAGTGTGCGGATGTGTCTTTCCCTGTGTCCTTGAGACCCTGGCACATATTTTTTCTCTCCTTGATTACCTTCCAAGTACCAGGCGGTCACCAGCTTCCTCTGCCGTGTACAACCACCATCATGTGACACCTAAGCCCGAAAGCAAAGAAGCCAATGGTGATGGCTGAAGCCCCTAACGCTGTAACCTGTAATAAAGCCTGCTCTTTCTGAAGAATATTATCTCAGCTGTTTCACTATTCACAATAAAAAGCTTTTGGAAATAATGAAAATAATATTTTCTGACTTATAGATTCTATTTTCTTGACTGAGTTAAGAGTTAAAAATTCTCCCTATCAATCTCTTGATCAGTTCTTTTGCACTACAGAAAACAAAATGGAAAAGAATGGATGGGGAAAATTGTATGTCTTTGAAAGCATTCATTCCCTGGAAAATTTTAAATAACCCTGACATTAAAATGATCCTGTTCACCATATTTCTAATTAATTGAGTCTCGAATCTTATTTCAAATCTTGTAATCCTATTGCCAACCATGTGAGGTTTGGCATGTCATTGCAGTAAATTAATTGCTATTGTTGTGCAGTGCTTGTTTGAGCAAACATTTCATTAACTATCTTCTCTAATCTTGATGATGGTACAGTTGAGTGTCTTAACTTTTCTCGTGACTAATAATGTGATTCTGATCATTTCTATTCATTACTCTAGGTAGACATATAAATTTATTTATCTCTGTGGAACCAAGTTTGGCAATACATGTGTGTGTGTGTGTGTGTGTGTGTGTAATGAGCATAAGTGTCATACAATCAGTGTGTGAATTCTGTGTTTAAGTTGGATGTTCACAAATACTGAATCTTGTGTATCATGTTAGTATGAGATACTGCATGCAATTTTGCTGAAGACTACTGAGGTTAGGTATGCACTTTGAAAAAAATCAACCGCCATTTGTAGCTTTTTACTTACTTTACAGATTAATGCAGCCCATAGGCTGAAGCTTGGGAAAAGAGAAAAGGTCACATTCTTTAATCTCAAAGTGCTAATTTCTCACACAGTAGTAATCATTTAGAAGATACAGTCCCAGTTTACAAGCGCTGGCTGACTATGAAGGTAAATTTAGGCCCTGCCTAACAATGTGTAAACTGCAGAGAATTGCATTCCTTGCATACAGTGAATCACCTGATGCTAAACAATTTTCACCAAAAAGAAGTTCCTTTCTTTTGGAACCAAGAGAATTTTCCACTCCTTCCAACACACTGCAGAGAAAAAGATAGTGGTAGTAAAGATCCAAGGAGCTCAATTCCATCAGTATCTTTAACTTAAAGTGGGGAGAGTGTTAAAGTCACTTAGTTTGGATATAATTTCAATAATTCTCCCTGTAGAAAAAAGCTATGTCTGTATCAGTGTATTGCCCAAAGAATGTCAATAAAACAGGAAAAGAAATTGCAGTGAATCTCTAAGAAAATCTTTCCCTAAATAAATACTATTTTGTTAATTTTAGTTGATGTTATTTTCTAGTGGTAGAGAAATGTCCATGTCTGCTGTCAGTAAGGCTCAAGCAGAGAAAATACTTGTAATATTTGTCAGCATAAGCTCCTTTAGGTCCCTGAATTTTTCTAATTTTATACACAAAATTATTTATGTACTTGCTTTTCAGTAAAGTGAGGATAAATATAGCAAGACAAAATATATTTGGTAGATAATTATAGCTAGCTTCATTAGTAGTCTATAAAGAATTTGCAAATAATTTAGTCACGGAGCAAACTTCACACATCGTGTATTATTTGTTAGAAAATGGCATGCAATACAGAGAGGCTTCCTCATGGCTTCACGGCCTACTACACCAACCTAGTTATTTTCTGTTTGACTCCTGTAATTGTGTGATAAGGCACAACTTTCCTAGACAAGGCTAATAATAAAATGCCCTGCTAAAGTCATTAAGATAGATTATGTTTCAATCTGGCAGGTTTTTCTATTGCTGTTTTCTGCACTCAAACTCTGGTAGGATATTGCCTTGGTTTAGAGAGAGACTGCAGGACCTCTCATTCCCTTAGGAATCCAAGACATCATTTTTGTGAATTTAGCTAACTACATTCTAACATTCTGTGAGAGTTCATAAGTTTTTTTTTTTCAATGAGAGATATTATATATATATATATTTCTTACTGCTATGTTGTAGTGAAAAATAATGGAGACCAAGCACTTTGGGTAAAATAGGTATTATGCCTATGGGATTCCTGAAATTTATGATTTATTTATGTACTTACATTTGAAATCTGTATGATGAAGTTGATAGAGATGGAAACAGATTACAATATATGAAACATTATATAGAAAGAGAGAAGTTAAATAATATAATTGTGTGACATTTATTAAGATATGGACATAGTATACATTTAAGTTTGTA